GAGCAGGCCCCACCTCCCAGGCCTCTGGCTCCTCTCCACTGGGCTCTTTCTCACAACTTGAATTGTTTTGCTGTTGTAAGGTGCAAAGTAAATCACCCTACCCCTCTGGGCTCTCCTTGGGCTGGATGAATAATCAAGACAGTGTCAGATGGGTGAACAAAGGAAAAACAGTGAATTTATTACTTTTTTAAAAGATTTATTCATTTATACATATAAGACCTGGGGTACAGGCCAGAGGTGCAGGGGGTGAGAGGAGTCACCAGAGACAGAGCGGGGAGCAGAACAGGCAGATCTACTGAAATACACTGCTGAGGGGAGCAGTGGGGAGACAGGAGAGGTCTGCTGTGCCCTGTGGGCCACTCGCTGGCCAGGAACCGAACTCGAGCTGCAGTGGCTGCAGACAGCTTCACAGTGCTGAGACTTAACCCCTGCGCCCACAGGGAGACCCCAACAGTAAACTTAATAATCTATACATGGAGGGTTCCCGTAGCTGTAAAGAAGGCTCCTGGGGCCCTGCAATGTTTCTCTCGTGTTTAGGAACTGGGGCATCGCAGACACAGGTGGAGACTTCACATGACAGATAAGAAGCCGTGATCTCATCCTCACTCTGAAGGGGAAGATGAGATTCTAAGATACAGAGAACTTGTTTACTGATAAACCTAGAACTGGGTGCGACCCCCACCCCCGACTCCATTCTTCTAGGTTATAAAAGGGAAACAGTGATGGGATCTTCACTTTAGAAAAAGGCAGAAGCTTAGGACAGATTCATCTCTGATCAAGGATAGAGCAAGAAAAGCAGCTTCTCCCAGCTCTCCAGTGAAACATTCCCCATTCTTTAGGTAGTGAATGGTCTGCTGAGGCACACAGCCTCAAGCGACCTCTGGTTTTTATGCTGAGGTGACGACAAGACTGCTCAGCACCTACTAAAAAAAATCTGACTCTTTTGGGAGACTGACCCCATACTTCCATTTTTACTTACTGAATAGTCCATCTCCAGTGTAAGGGGGGTCCCCAGGAAAAGGGGAGGTTCCAGGTTCCCTGCCCCACCCAAGGGAGGGTGGAGCTGAGCAGGGATGAGACGTGTCTGGACTGGGACTGAGGAGGAAGGAGGCAGGATGGAGCCAGAGGCCCGAGGGGGCAGAGGCGGGTGGAGAAGCGGCTCTTGTCTCTGGTCCCGGACTGGGGGACCCGGACGTGGGGAGAGGCCCGTGGGGGGTGGCTGTGGCCGCGTTTGTCCTGATTTTGATGTTGCTCTCTCCCGCCCAGACTTGCCTGGCCATTTCCGACCCTTTGCTATGGGCCCCGCTGGAAGGTGCTTCAGACTGTGGCAGCTTTCAGGTCGCTCTGGGCCAGTCCCTTTTGGGTGGATTTTACCCAGGAGGGGGCGGGTCACTTTGGGTGTTTGGCTTAGAAACTCTATTCTTTGACTTTTCTGTACTGCGCACTTGTTGTGTTAAAGTTCCTTTTTATTAAAGGTCTTTATGTTTTATCTTAATGCGCCATATGGCAAAGACTATTTAGAACGGGGGTTCTGGGGTGTCCCCCACCCTGCCCTGTAACACCCCCACACCAGCACGGAAATTAAGCATGTGATGCCAGCCAAGGGGCGGCACAGACGGAGGAATGAATGACATTCCCCGAGGCCTGGCTTAGGCCTGGCACTTCTCTGAGCTCCTTGGAGAGGGCCCGACTGTTGGGGAGGGCCATGGACAGTGTGTGCACCTCTGACCTGAGGGCTGGACCCTGGAAATGAGGCTCCTTCCTGCACCCTGCTCCCCTCAGAGCCTTGATCCTTGGGATGTACGTTCCAGAGGCTGCTCCAAGAACCCAGCCTTGAGCAAATGCCTTGTGACATCTGGGGTGTGATGTACTGTGAGACCCCCCCCCCCCGACTGCAGACGTGGCTGCACACACTTAACATCTTGACTCAGATGCAAAGCTGTGGCAGCATGCAGAGAGTCGCTCATCCTGCCCAAGACAAGCCCTTGCACACAAGTTTCCTGGCTCATTAAAACCGCCACCTGGGCCCTCCCTGGTGGCGCAGCGGGTTAAAGC